TATCATGGGTGATAGAATCGAAGATCCGAATTTCGCTGCGCAAAGAGACCTCGTATAGAAGCATGGATTCTTTCTAGTATACGATGTCCATTTCGTCTTCGATGAATTATAGTTGTTGTATCTATTAGTTAACCCCGTTTCTCGAAAATGCAGGAGATTGAGTACACTTTCTTTGCGGTGGCGGTTGTACGGTAAGTACTCGTAATATTTCGAGAATACGGTTTTTGACGAATCTTCTTTTTCGGCTTCTAATTTTTCGGGGGGTGATGTCATCGTAGTACTCTTCGAGTTATTACAAGAATTGAACTTGTCATGTACCAGTGAAGTATACTTGTAATGTGCTCATGTTATTTGTCTTTAACATCTTTATTTAGTAAGAAAACCTACATCACAACAGAAATTTCAAAATTAATATAAAAAATCATCAATCTTTAATAACTAAGTACTACTTCCCTTTTTTCTCAAAAAAAAAGGTACTACTTCCCTTTGTTACTACTGTGGATATTATTAATACAAGAAAATAATTAGTTTGTAATATCACCTAATTACAATTAGTCAACGCTCAAAGAGAATTAGTACCAACATCATATGATTGAGGTTTGGATTTGGAATTGGTAAAGTTTGCCTAGTCAGCATCTGTATCCATTATTTCCTACAACTACAGGACAACACAAATTACAGTTTTGGGCTCTCTTCTTTCTTTAATTTCTTTCTTTCTGCAATTTTCATATTTGCAATTACAGTATGTAAAATGTTTTAATGTTTTCTTGAAATGGGCTAAAACTCATTAATCAAGAGAAATTACTAGGAAAAGAAAAACACAAATCTTAAATATCGAACTGGGAAAAGCATGATCACAGAGAGAGAGAGAGAGAGAGAGAGAGAGAGAGAGAAACCTGGATTGTTTGTCGAGAAATGTCAAGAGAAAGAGATTCTTACAGAATCATTCTGCATTAACTAAAATAGAAAATCAAGACAAATTATATAAGAAGAGTTTGAGATCAGTGAGAAGTGTGGATATACATACATACAAGGACAAATATATATATATATATATATATATATATATATATGTAAGGCTTCGTGTATTAATAAAAATAATGTTGGAAGAAGAGATGAGAGGATAAGTACAGCTCAACTTATTATTATTATTACAGCATTGATTCAACACGACATCTGGTCCTACTGTGCCACTCACCATAATATACTTTTCTAAAATAAGAAGCAAATTGAGAAAATATTAATTACAAGAGAGCAAATTTGGAACGGATCCCCCATTTATATTAGAAAAACGGATTCCATTCATTGAGTGACACGTGGATATTTAATTAAGAAATGTGATTGTTTATGTTTCAGTATTTATAGGTATTTTAAATTAAAAAGTCTTTAATTAAGAATTGCAAGTGCATGCAACTACCTTATATGTAGGCGCATTAACTTTTTTCCATTATCTTTTCTTTTTTTTTTTCTTTCTTTTCTAAATAAAAATTTTTCTTTTTGTTGTAACACATAGGCATTTAAGTTTTAATTAATTTTTGAATTCTATTTTTTTTTTCTAAAAACCCTAAGTTAAATTATTAAACCCTAGGGTTAAATTACTAAACCCACACATGTTAATAGGAGAGGCACCTAGTGTTCTTCACCAGGAGTATGTTCCTAGAAACCTATTCGGAACATGTTTATTTTGGGTCTTTTTATTTAATAAACCCGAATAAAATATCATATACGAGAATAATAAATTATAATAAAGAATTCATACACCCAAAATAATTTGCTCTCTAAAGAATAAACATACAATTTAAATGAATGTTAAATTCTTGAATTCAGATTTTAATAATATTATTTTTCTAATGTAAAGATTCAACACTATGTCGTTAAAAATTCCAAGGAGTCTTAACCTAAATTAACCACGTAACTTGGTAAATTAATTAAATTTTAAAATAAATTAATATTCCACGTGGCAAGCTTTGAATGGTGTCTGCTTTTCTCAATTAATAGGGCGTCCGTTTTGAATGTTATTCCTAATTACAATATTCTTGGTATCCAATTTAATAAATGAATAAAACGTGCAAGTATATAAGTAGCCCCCTTTATTGGTCATGTGCAAAACTACTTATTAGCTGAATCTCTTATTAATTTAAAAAAAAAAAAAACAAGATAATAAGTGAAAATAATAATAATAATAATAATAATAATAATAATAAACTCACTCAAGCACACTATATATTAAATCAACATAGCAAATCCCAATCATAAATCACAAGTATAACATTCCCCCAAAGTTGTGATCGTATCAGATTTAATCAAATTAAGCGATATTGAATCGAATATGCCTAAGAAGCACGGGGACCACGACATCGGGCGAGCTCAGCTGCGGCAGATGACCGTCGGTCGACATGACCTCAACAATGGAATCCCCGCCAAGGTTCTGGTGGAGATACTCGGAAACCACCACCGGCACCGCCAGGTCCTTCATGCTCTGGATGATGTGGCACGGAACCGCCACGTGGCACAGGAAGGGTCTGATGTCGCTACAAAATATTGTCTGGGCCACGCTCAGTGCTATGTCCGGTCTCATGTTGAACAGCGTCCTGCTGAATTCTTGCACCGCCAAAGATTCCATGTCACCACCCACCGCTAGTGGGGCGAATCCGGAGCACCATGCCTTGTAGTTCGATCTCATGGCTTCGAATAGTTGCTCGAGTTCGTCTTTTTCGAATCCTCCGTAATAATCCGGGTCGTTCAAGTATCTACCAAAACAAAACAAAGTTAAATCAAGAAACAGTGACTTAGAACTCAATTCCATACCTTCAAATAGGATTTATTGCGTTTAGTACCCCCTATGTTTATTCTAATTGTAAAAAAAACTCCCCTTGTTATAAATATTAGCAAAATATCCCCTATGATTTCATTTCTATTAGCAAACTACCCCTAAAAAATTTCTACTATTTAGGGAATTGTGTGCTAAAAAAATGCATCATAGAAAGTTTTTTTCTTTTGGGCTAACATAAATAACACTAGTAGTTTCTTTTAGCAATTATTATAACACATGGTTCTAAATGCAATAAACTCCCTTAAAATATAATGACTAAACAAATAGAAAAAGGGAACACGAATACGAGTACTTCAAACTTTTGTTCGTTGATCAAAATCTTGAACTACAAGTTTACAACCATTCATGTGCAAAAGCAACCTATGGCATAATCTTACGAGGAAAACTTGTACAACGCATGATCAATAAAGTAATATGAAATTCGAAATGAAAAATGTAAAAAAATTCCAAGGAACTAACCTTGGAGAAGCAGAAATGGTGATAATTTTCAAGAAAAGATCTGGACGAGTGATGGAGGCAATTGCACCAATCATGGCCGAGACAGAGTGGCCGACATATATGCATGACTGGATCTGAAGCTCCTCTAAGATGGCGATGACATCATACGCGTAGCCCTCTAGGGTTGAATATCTATCAAAGTCAAAGTAATCCGGGTTGGTTGTACCCGCGCCCATATTGTCATACAACACGACCCGGTACTCTTCCACCAGGTGCGGCACGAGGTGTTTCCACACTGATTGGTCTGTGCCGAACCCGTGGGCCAGGACTATGGTCTGTTCACCGGACCCCACAATCCGAACATTGTGCGCTTCTTCAGCCACTCCCATTTCTCTAGCATTAGCAATAAATAATTCAGTTAACTATATTAGTTGTTGCCAAGAGAATTGATTAGCATTTTAGGCCACAAGAAAGAGAAAAAAAAAAAAAAAAACTACTTGCATAAATGTGAAATATGTGAAACTACCTACGAGGCCGCG